GAGGAAAGATAAATGGAGGAATTGTTACATGGGAAAAGGCAAAAGAGCCTTTTTTGCACCAAAAACATCATCTATAAGTCCAACTCCTCTTCTACCTCAGATCAAGCGCATCGAAACTAAATATATTTTCTGTATCTGCTTCCAACCAAAAGGAAGTTGAAAACTTCAAGCTGATCATCTGTATCAGATAAAATTCTTCACATAAATCCACCATAAACCATTTCTTTCAGATTAAAGTCTCTAAATGGTGTTTGAGTGTGGATTATGAGTACCTTTGATCATTTACTTATTATCATGCTCAAATCCAAGCAATTCTCCACCACTGAAATAATGTCTTGATGTGACACATGCGCACTGACACTACCTTCCACTATTTATCTATTGCAGTTGGTAGCTTCAGAAACTGTGAAGCACGCTATAACCCTGCAGATATTGAAAAATGATATCAAATATATTTTCATCAAATATGCAGCATAAGAGTGACAATGGCATTAACTATGTTGATCGTATACAGATGATATTCAAGATTGTGCTAATAGGTTGAACATCAGTCAAGGACTTGCACTAGGTACTTCAGCATTCAGATTAGGTGGAAGATGCATAATGTTTTGTCTAACATCACATTCACTAATGTCCTACAACGAAAACCTGAAACATTTCAAATGAGCACTTCCAGAATAATTTATCCTTTTCATCAAGAATGTAAAGAAATGATTCACTTACAGGTCAAACTAGACCGGTATGTAGAAAAGACATTGTTTGAGAAATTTGTGGATTGGATCAAATTTAAAAGGATTAAGAGAATGAACACTCTAATCAAGATGAACTAGAGACACCCAACCGTCATAATCATTCGACCAATGTGCAAAAGCAAAGGAATAGACAAAGGGGAAGACAATAGCATCAGTCGCACCGTTGAAAAGAATCGTGTCGGAAGAGGGAGGAGGGAGGAGGAGGAGGATGGTATCGGGGAAGGGGGCGAGCTTGCGACGAAAGGGGGAGAGGGAGGAGGGATCGGGGAAGGAGGGTTGGCTTGGCTCGCGTGGGGCGGGGCTGCGATGAACAGAGGGGAAAGAGGGAGGAGAAGGGAGTGTGCGATGGCGAAGGAGGAAGAGAAAGAGAGATACCGGGAGGGGAAGACGCCACCGCCGACTGTCGCTGTTTCCCGATGGAGAGGAAGGCAGCCGTCGTTCACTGACGAGACGCCGCAGTCGCCGAAGAAAAAGAGCGGTCTCTGCGATTAGGGCAGGGTTGCGCCGCGGGGGTTTGGTTCGGGTTCGAAATGCGACTCAGGTTCGATCCGGATTTTAATCATTCGGGCGTCTGACCCGTCGAACCGCCTCCGGTTGAATTCGAGGGGCCCACCCCACTTATCGGATGGTCATGCAATAAAATAGTCGATGCCATACAAAAATTGAAATGTCAGATGAAATTATTTTGGATGACAAAATGACGAATGCTTCGACATATAAAATGAAACTACAGTTTTCCTATGACTGGTGGGGCATTATATCGATCGTCTCATAGCAAATAAATGAAATGGAGCAGAAAATCTATCGATGTATTATCGTCTTAGGCTTCTGAAGTTGTCGATACCAAAATTTCTAGTTTATTATGCTTAATTTTGTCTTAATATGATTTATCATATTATTCAATGGAACGACTGAGTGATATAGAGGTAGAGAAATGGTGAGTATACGATGAATGAAAGTCCTCACATAATTATATTTCTCTATGCATTCATATATCACGACTCCATCATCGATTTATAGAGTTTAGACTATAAGTTTAATACGAATACATTTAATGACTGACATTCATAATTTTATCCATATTTCACACTCTATTTAAATAGATTCCAATCATTTAGAGCACAGTTTAGCTATCAATATTTCACAATAAAAATTAATAATAATAATTAAACGTAATCCATACCAATTAACATGACTGAAGTCAAGTTGATATAGATGAACTGATAGAATTAGCCAGCTAAGGTAGAAATATAGCATAAAAACACTTGAGAATATTTAAGATGATTCGATAGTGCAATCAGTATGCAATAGGTTTAGCACTTAAAAATTTAATTTCTCTGCACAGCAGCAAGATAGGTATCATAGAGAGAAGTAAATTTCTCCTTGAGTAGCTGGAAAAAAATTTTCTTTCTTTATGAACTTCATCTCAGATAGTCGTATGACGGATAGCAGATTACTTCCTTCATCCTCTGTTTAAGAAAATTCATAACCTCATTCACGGGAGAGCTAATGACATATGTCAGCTCACAACAATCGGCTTCCTGATGTCATCAGGAATGTCATCTTCCTAAAATGTTTCCTCGCTGCTGTTATGTTATGATATTTCAAGTAGTTGAAACTTTTATTTTGCTTCAATTAATTTCAGTTTAGAAGAATATTGAGAGGGTTAAGATTATATCTCTCGGAACATTTCGATCTATCTTGTAAGACAAGAGAGGCTCTAATAGAGCTAGAGACGGCGCAGAGATAATGAGAATCTGATGAAGAGGCCCTCGCACAATATTGTTTCTCCACACATCAATTATTTTCCCACGCATGTCTTGTGGCCAAGTCGTCACCGATCAGCCGACAGAAATAGCAAGCTACCGTAGAAACATAACACAGAAGCTTTAAAAACATCGGTAAAAAATAAAAAAAGGCATCAAAAGATAATTAGAAATAAAATATCAAAATCAACAGTGATGTTCTACTCAGACGAAACTCCTGAAGATTATAAATTGTCACAGATTTAAGATGATTAAATAGTGCAGTCAGTATGCAACAAGTTTACACTTTTGTCTCGAGGAAGCACTTGCAATCCTAATTTTCAGCAACAACATAGGAATTATAGAGTACAGTAAATTTCTCCTTGTACGGGAAAAGAAATTTGTTCATGAACTTCTGCTCACTTAGTGGCATGAAATATAAAAGGCTATGTCCTTTATCCAGCAATTTATTCTGCTCAAGAAAATTTATAACTTCATGTCGCGGTCTCAACCTCTTATCCAAGCTATATGAAAGAATCCAAGGATGGCAAATGATATACTGCAGCTCACAACCAGCATCCTTCATCAGGAATGTCATCTTGTCAGATATGTTATTCTTTGAGAGTTTCCAAATACATGGGTTCTTCCTGAGTATGGCAACGATGTCTGGCTGGGACCAACCAAAGCTCTTAAAGGTTGCAAAGGTAGCATCACACTTAGATCTGCTCAAGTTCAAGACAGTAAGAAGTGCATGAGGGAACATTCCACAATCATGTGGCACACCCAACTCCTCAACATGTTCCATAACTTCCTTAATAAATTTGGTTTTTCGAACAACAAAACCCGGATTCAACACCACCATACGGGCGATGCATTCATCACTGATGCCACATTCCCTTAAGAGAGATATATTGGGCTCTATCTTCTGAGCTAAGCTAGAAGTAAGAAGAAATCGGTTCCTCCTGCAGGCTTTCAGTAACCTCTCATTAGAACCAAGTAGTGCCTTCAAGAAGTTCAAATTCGGTTGGAAATTATGAAAGAGTATAGTCGGACATGTTGAAACCAACTGAACTATTTCGGTAACAGAAAATCCCATGTCCTGCAAAGATCTCATCCTGGGTTTCAGTGTAGTCTCTACATTAGCACAGAGCAACTTGGGTTCCTTCTGGGTAAGTTTCATGACTTGTGCATCGCTCCAACCGTTCTGCTTAAAGAACTCGGTGGAAAGACTTGAAGAATTTTTACGACAGGTGTGATACTTGGCTGTTTTTGCAGCCTTTTCTGAGGAAAGTTCACATGATTGAAGGGGGTTGACCACTATAAAGTTGGAACTGTGCTCTGAACTTTCGTATGTGGCTGTGGAAAAGTTAAACAGGCCGCGAAGTTGATAGGAGGAAAGATAAATGGAGGAATTGTTACATGGGAAAAGGCAAAAGAGCCTTTTTTGCAACAAAAACATCATCTTTTGAAGCAGTATCGTGTGCTGTTTGCAGAAAAATACAAAAAAACTAATCTAATTGCTGCCCTCTCTTAAGTCCCAACTCCTCTTCTACCTCAGATCAAGCACATCCAAACTAAATATATTTTCTGTATCTGCTTCCAACCAAAAGGAAGTTGAAAACTTCCAGCTGATAATCTGAACGGATAAAATTCCTCACGTAAATCCACCTGCATTCAGTTCCCATAAATAATTTCTTTCAGATTTAAGTCTCTAAATGGTGTTTGAGTGTTGATTAAGAGTACCTTTGATCATTTACTTATTATCATGCTCACATCCAAGCAATTCTCCACAACTGAAATAATGTCTTGATTTGACACATGCGCACTGACACTACCTTCCACTATTTATCTATTGTAGTTAGTAGCTTCAGAAACTGTGAAGCACGCTATATCCCTGCAGATATTGAAAATGATATCAAATGTATTTTCATCAAATATGCGGCATAAGAGTGACAATGACATTTGCTATGTTGATCGTATACAGACGATATTCAAGTTTGTACTAATAGGTTGAACATCAGTCAAGGACTTGCAATAGGTACTTCAGCATTCAGATTAGGTGGAAGATGCATAATGTTTTGTCTAACATCAGATTCATTAATGTCCTACAACGAAAACCTGAAACATTTCAAATGAGCACTTCCAGAAAAATTGATCATTTTCATCAAGAATGAAAAGAGATGATTCAATTATAGGTCTAACAAGACCGGTAAGTAGAAAAGACATTGTTTGAGAAATTTGTGGATTTGATCAAATTTGAAAGGATTAAGAGGAAGAACACTCTAATCAAGATGAACTAGAGACACGCAACCGTCATAATCGTTCGACCAATGTGCAAAAGCAAAGGAATAGGCAAAGGGGAAGACAATATCATCAGTCGCACCGTTGAAAATAATCGTGTCGGACGACGAGACACCTTCTCAATCGCATTCAACAACCCACTCCGTCCAAAGACATGACAGCGACGGAGACACAATACCTCGACCGATGATGGCAACAACGCTAGAGATGGTCACGTCTACACAATTTGAAGGTGGGTGGATAGACTGAGGAGCAGTATTTTACACATACCACCCAAAATTCAAATCATTAAGCTCAACGAGATATTGGTTATGTTCATACATAGAAGGGAAAGGGGAAGACGATGGATGGTTTTCAGCAGATGCGATAGAGCCTACACGACATAGACACAACGCGAAGCTCATCGTATGCACGGCCATCATATTATGAAGAATCTTACAGCGCGAAGCTCATCGTATGCACGACCATCATATTATGTGGATTAGATCAAATTTGAGAGGATTAAGAGGAAGAACACTCTAATCAAGATGAACTAGAGACACCCAATTGTCATAATAGTTCGACCAATGTGCAAAAGCAAAGGAATAGGTAAAGGGGAAGACAATAGCACCAGTTGCACGGTTGAAAAGAATCGTGTCGGACGACAAGACACCTTTTCAATCGCATTCAACAACCCACTCAGTCCAAAGACATGACGGCGATGTAGACACTGTGCCTTGACCGATGATGGCAACGATGCCAGATATGATCACATCTACATAATTCGTGGGTGGTGCATGGACTGAGAAGTAGTAATTTACACGTACCACCCAGGATTCTGATAATTAAGCTCGATGAGATATTGGTCATGTGTATACATAGAAGGGAAAGGGGAAGACAATTGATGGTTTTCAGCAAATGCGATAGAGTCTACACGACATAGACAAAGCGCGAAGCTCATCATATGCACGGCGATCATATTATGAAGAATCTTACAGTCAACAGTAATACAATCTTGGCTGATTATTCTTTTTCGAGCAAAAATACGATGATCGATCTTATGACACGAAATAACAAATTAGTCGCGAAAGTAGAAGTTCTGATATTCTCTATGCTCCACACAAATAAATGTCACAAACATCCTTGCCTCAGAAGCTGCCTCGGACACATGGTTCAAGGCAATCAAACTACGATCAAACCACATTAATAAACTAATGGCATACGGTGCATTAGTATACTATGTCGCGGGATCAATTTTAGGTTTGGATCTAACAAATATATCAAATTTATATATAGATATAGAGGATTGAAGACCCCGATCCACAGCCAGTGGAATCCCGTCATTCTTTTTTGTGATAGAACCATGTATATCCATCGATTGATTACTTGATTCATTTGAATCTTAAAGTTTAAGTTGTTAAAATAAATAATCTAACAATTTATCGTTAATTACTTGTTTCATTTGAATCTTAAAGTTTAAGCTGTTT